ATTTTTTTCCGTCATTTTTTCTTCTTTGCCTGGCCTAGTTAGTATGTTCCCATTATTATATTAATCATGACGACTGTTAAAATGCTGAAATATGAAGATGTTGTGTAGGTGGTGTTAACTCGCCAAAGGGCCTGTACGATATATATTATATTAAATTTCCATATTATTCTTTGTCCACGTATTACGTAATTCATTATATATTATATTATTATTTCCGTCTGAGGACGAAGTCTCTACTTAATTATTGTTTAAATTTATATATTATAGTAAATCATTATAATTCCCTGTTGCATAATAGGTATCAGGTAAAACCACTGTACTATTAATTAGGTACTGTTGGTTATATAACTTAGTATTATCGTATAGATAATTAACATTATTATTATAGATTGTTTCTTTTAGTTCCACCTGGACAACTATTATCATTAATAACAATTCAATATTTTTCTTAATTGTCGTTATCGTTGAATTCATAATTGGGTTAGACGCTAGCTAATATGCCAGATATGTTGTTAAATTTGAATACGTTAAATACTGTTCTTATGTGTTCTCAAAATACGAGTTCTCGTAAAATTTTTTTAAAATTTTTATAGGTTCTGAACCAGAATTATTTCCGAACGATCCAGGCAAATTCCCTGATCATTTATCAAACGAAATGTTATGTTATATTATGCAATATGGACCTTGCCAGCCATCACCATGGGAATTGTCAAATAAAATTTTTCCTAAAACCAAATATTTATCCGGAAGATTAAGATGTTTCCATCAGTCATATTATTATAAATCAGTGCCAAATAATGCTCCAGTAAATCGAACTTGGTTATCTTACTCTCTATCATTAGACAAAGTCTTTTGTATCTCATGCAAGTTATTTGGCTTAACTAAAGCAAAAAAATTGCTTCTTGCTCATGAAGGTTGTAACGATTGGAAAAATTTAAACAGAAATTTAAATAATCATGCACACACTACGGAACACTTACAAGCAGAAATAAGTCGTTCTCTGTTTTCAAAAAATATTAGAATTGATATACACCTACGTCATTCTAAACATGCAATCATTTCAGAGAATCGAGAAATTGTTCGAACTATTATTAAAGTTTTAATTCTAGCTGCTAGACAAAATATAGCTCTGCGAGGTCATGACGAAACAATATCTTCACAAAATCAAGGTAAAATAAAAATTTGTAGTTTATAGTTATATTCTATGCTCATAGTATAAATAATATAAACTAGAATAATTATTAATTATATAATTATATTTACATAATTTAAATGACAAGAGATATATTGGATATTTAAATGACTTTTTTTAATCATGTTTATAGGTAATTTTATTGAACTACTTAAATTACTTGATAACTATTATATTAACCTCTCATGGCTCACTTAGACAAAATATGGTCAACAAAAGATAAAAAGAATCGTTTAACATTCATGTCACATGAAGGTCAGAACAACATTTTAAATATTCTTGGAAATCAAGTTCGCTCAGTTATAATAAAGGATTTGATCAGTGCTAATTTGTTTGCTATTATTATTGATACAACTACAGACATCTCTAATAAAGAGCAGTTTTCACTTATAGTGCATGAAGGTAATTTTAAAATAAAAGCAAAACAAATAACTTTAAGTGCATTTCCTACTCTTAATAGGTATGTGCAAATGGTACAACTTAATTTTATAACTTTTAGAGTATGATCTCTTGTTGAATAAAAAATATTTTATTTTTCTTTATAGGCAAAACAAATGAAAGGTTTTTAAAGGCATTTAATTTATATAAAAAGGCAATTCATAAATATACTACAAAATAAAATAGTGAACATTTTTTAAACACTTTCAAATATTTTCACCGAATTC